AGTTACTTCCCTTTATTGCAGTGTTTAAAATGCCTTCTACTACCTATAAATTACCATCTAGGAATGTTTTTTTTTCCCTCTATATGACTCGCTACTTTTTTTGTCTTAAAATGCTCTGGCCAGAATTGATTTCATGGAATTTAATTCACAGTGCTCAGCCATATAGGCACTTGGAGGCCTCTCCAGCCATGATCTATGGGTGCTTGGCTACTGCTTGAGCTGGCAGCAAACCTTGGCATTGTCCACATGGGCTAGTTTTACAGGCTTGCAGAAGGCAAGAGTTGTGGGGCCAGGGAGACTTCTATCCAATTTCAGAATATGGCCTGGGAGGCTAGGCAGTGTGTCCCTGAAAGGGTACTGCATGCTGCTGTGAGAGTGAAGCCAAAAGTGCTGTGGAGACCTCAGGAATTTGGCAATGCCAGCTATGTGAATTATCTGATGAGGAAAGCTACAGGTAGTGAGTGGAACCATTCCAAGAGAGAAGCTATGAGGGCTGCAACCTGTAATGCCATAGGAGTGGGACTGTCTAAGGCCTCTGAAAGTTATGTCTTGCCATGACTTGCCCTTCATGCTAGCTAGACACAGAGTCATAGGATTTAATGTTTGCCATGCTGGAGTTCTGTATTGCTTTGTTCTATTCCTTTTTATCCCCCTATCTCTTCTTTTTGGACTGGGAATGTTCACCCTGTGCCAATGTATATCAGCAGTATTAAGCGTTCTTTCTGATTTTATCAGTATTTATAGCTAAAAATTTGCTTTGAGTCTCAGAGGAATTTTGGACTTGGACTTCTAAAAAAGTACTGGAATTGTTAAAACCTTGGTGACTCTTATAGATGGACTAAATATATTTTACATAATGAGATGGTCATGAGTCTTTTGGAGGGCAAGGGTATAATGTTATGGTTCACATACAGATCTTTCCCCAAAGCTTCATGTGTTTGGAAGGTGATTGTATAATAAGGACACTATAGCTTAATGTGCTGTTAGGAAGTGTGTTGACGAGAGAGAACCAGACCACTGGGAGGGCTGTATGTTACCTGGAAGCACATATCTCCATCCCCAACTCTTCTCTTCCCTCTCTGCTTCCTGGCCACTGTAATGTGAGTAGCTTTCTTTTTCCAGGCCCATCCACTATAACTTTCCTGTCTTGGAGAGAGACAACTAGGGATTGACTCTTCTAAAAACTGTGAGCCAGAATAAGCCTCTCCTCTTTTAAGTTGTGGTTTTCAAATACTTTGTCTCAGTGATGAGAAAGTGGCTAAGAAAGAAGCCTGTCTCTCTTTCACAAAGTAAAAGGAAGCTTTAAAAAAGTACCACTGAACTCATAAGTTTACACATTCTTAATAGAATTAGGAAGCTCTTCATTTCTAGGTGATAATTATAAGGTGTTACAAGATATTCAATAACAGATTCAATTATTTGTTGTATATGCTATTTAGAATAAAATCATATACATGAAAAATCTTTTAATTATTTTCTCTCTTTTGATCTTAACTCAGATAATAACAAGCTACATATAAAACCCAAGTCACCACCTCCTGTGTTATTTGTAGTCTCATTGACTGTACTACTCAAGGGACTTCTGAAGCTGTTCTACTCCCACTGCAATCATAATAATTCAAGTCTTCATCTCTGCCCTGGACCACTGTGCAAGGTTTCCAAATGGTCCCTGGTTTATTTCCAGGACCACTCTTTCAAGCCATTCTCCACCCAGAATGGTCTTTGCAGAACACAAATATGATCATAGTCCTTCCCTGGTTTAGAATCTTCAGTGGTTCCTCACTGAGGATAGAATATAGCCATTCACAAGCCCATCTCATTCTATCTTTCAGTCTTCATTTTCCACCTGTATTCAACATGTGCAGGTCACATACTACACACTAAATACTGCTTGAGACTCCTCTACTTATGACTGTATCTGTGTGGAATGCCTTTCATCTAGTTTTACTTTAAACTGTTGCTCAAGTATCACATGCTTTAATTATTTTGTCAGTTTATCCAGAAAGGCACACTACTCTCTTTTCCAATGCTTCTAGTTAGTATACACTACATGTTTTTTCCAATTTCATTAGTTGCCATTATTAACTATTTGATTATATCCTATTTTTCTCTTCTATATACTAAACTACTGGATTGTAGGAGCTATCTTTTATAATTATCTCCATACTTAGCACATTCACTAATCCAGAGTTGCTACTCAATAAATATTTGATGAATGGAAAAACTGGAATTGGTATGTTTTTGTAATTTATTTATTTATTAGTTTTGTATGGGATATACACCATCAGCAATGTTCTGGTTATGCACAGTACTGATATCAATAACATAACCAGAATTTTCTCAATGTTTTGTACTCTGCAGAGAAAAGCCATGGGCATACTTCTAATTTGCTTGAATTCTGTAGATGAAGTAGTATAATTCCCCAAAATACTGGATAAGAAAATTATACATGGCTCAGGAGAACACTCTATTCTTGACATTAGACATGAAAGCTTTCAAAACAAAAATATAAATTCTTCTTCTCTAGGCTGTTTTCCCCTCATCTCTTTTCCACAAAAAGACCACATTTTTCTTTCTGTGTACATAATATTTTTTGAATACTCTTCCATCATCAAGCATCCTGCAACCTCTAGTTAACCTATTTAGATTTCAGCATTCTTATCTGCATAATAAAGCTAATGGTCCTAAGCTGTTCTCCCAGGGATGTTTCATTAAATATGTTTCTTGACACTGCACAGACCTTGCATACATCAGCAAGAATTTTCAAAATAAAATATTCTATATGCACAGAAAATGATTTCATTTGGCATTGTTTTTAAAACAAGCACATTTCTAAGAGGGAACATTTGCATCATTAGCAAACATTTCAAAACGGATCTAAGGTAAAAATTGTTATGACTGCAGTGAATGTTTTATTTGGGGTTGATAAAACAGGCAAGTATTTCAAAACATTTCCACCCATAATTTTTAATGGAAAAAGTAAGGCATGGATTGTGAGATTATATTCTATGCATAGTATCCTGTTATAGGGGATTTTTCTGAATTTTTTTCTCTGAGACAGCCCTGTATGATATAGGATTGGCTCAGAGCACTTTTTTTCTTTTCTTTCTTTATTTTCTTTTATTTTTTGCTACTTCAAGTAGGAAGAGCACCCACAATTCCTGAGGTAGTACCCTACACTAGCATATTTTCCTGCCATTGCATGTGGCAACAAGGGCTGCATTGATCTTCCTCACAGAAAGAGCTTTCCTGGCTAGAAAAGAATCACAATTTTCCTTGGGGCACATAGTTATCTAGATATCCTAGACAGGATATCTTATCCCATAACTCTGATTCTTCTACTCACCTGGCCTTTCCCTTACTTATACTACTTTTTATGACAATGACATTTCTCCTCTAGCAATATTTGGAACCAGATAGGCAGAGGGGAAAAACCAGTGGAGAAAGGGTGAACTGAGTGGAATCCAATAAAATAAAAACAAAATGTATACAGAATGCTGCTTATATCCCCCCAATTTTGGGACAATATTTTAACTCACATCCTTCTCATGCCTGTCTTACACCTGGATTCAGTTGTTAATATGTGAATTAATGAATACTTCCTTCTGTAAATTTGTATAGAAATAATGTCAGTCTATCCAGATGCAATAACATACACAAAGTTTCCAAAGCCAGGCAGAATTGAGCCCTGGTCAAATCTCTTTCTGTGGAGTCTGTTCCCACACATTTGTATGCAGAGAATGATCTGAAAATACTTTCTAGCATTAAAACATTTTTTATTGAGGCATAATATACATAAAGAAATGCTATATTATAAATATACTGTAAATCTAATACTCACCTATTTTAACCAAACATGCTGCTTAAGCAGCATAATAGGATTTTTTTTTCCATTCTGGGGATTGAAGCCAGGGCCTCATAAATTCTAGGTAAGAGCTCTCCCACTTGGCTACACCCTCAATCTGAATGTTTGTTTTGATTTTAAGATTTAGTTTTCAGGATACTTTTCAGATGCACTGAATCAGAAACTCAAAGTCCAAGTCCCGAGAATTTAGGAAAATTCCTTACAATGAACTTTTTGCAGTCAACAGGACACCAAGTTTCACTTGTGATCTCCATTTAGATACCGAAGTATATGACTTGGTGTGTGGATGGAGCAGGGGATAGATGTTAGGGTAAGTCAGGAGTCCTGGAGGAAGGTGAAAATGAAGATTCTTCTTGTTTTTAGAAGAGTTCCAATAGTTGTTTGAGGAAGGAATAGATAGCAAAAACTGTCCAGTTGCCATATAATATTAATTTACCTTTTTTTATTTAGTGATAGAATCACAATTTATAGTAAGGTACATAGTTTTCGAGATTGAAGGCTAAATACTGGCTTTCTCAGAGGTTAGATGTGGCCATGTAACTAACTTGTACCCAGTAGACTATAAGTAGGAGTGTTATACATGACTTTCTGAGAAATCTTTAAAGAGTATAAATATAGCTTTTCTAGATCCTTTCCTTATCGCTGGGGGGTGGAATATGGAAGTGCTGCATGGAGCTCAAGCAGCTAGTTTGACCCAGGTGAATAAGGAATGGTAAGGTGATAGAACATAAATATAAAAAAAAAAGTTTAGATTTGTTAAGAAATCTATAGGTTCTATATTAATTCTATTACCAATTCTGGTGTCTAACAGAATAAATGATTTTGTATTTTGGCACTATTAACTTGAGTTTTCTAATATTAGAATAGGTGAACTAATCCTAATTAGGTGAATATAATTCTGAGACACAAATTTCCTCTTCTAGTTATGTATGTCTGCAGACTCTCAATAACGCCTCTCAGTAATATGATGTTCTCTTATTTACCTCCTCTTCCTTTACCCCTCCTTCTTTGTCAACAAATGACTGAGAGCAAGTTTGGGTTTTGTTAATCAACCCTTGAAGGTAAACTTATTCGGTATTGTACCTTAGGAGCTTGTTCTCTAAGAGCTATTTATATGGTTGGCTTTTTTCCATAGGCTTCATTGACACCAGGTCTTAACTGGTGTCTGGAGAAGTTTGAGGGATTCTCCAGTTGTGTCTTCCTCTGTACAGGTGGGTATAGTTTCCTCATGTCATCACAAGGGAATTTTATGGCTGGGAAATGTTTTCAGCTGGAACAAAGGGTCTGCGCCCACTTCCTAAAAAGAGGAAGCTGGGAAATCATAGATGTTTTATCAAGTATTAAGCCAAGATAAGCAAAAATGGGCTGTTACTATAGCTTCAGTGCCAGTGAAAGAAATGGGGCATAACCTAGTTATTGGGACAGTGCTGAGGCATAAGTCAGGGAAGAGCAGCAGATCAGAGAACGTCAGAATACCTAGGAGACTAAAGTCTGTAGCTGCTTCAACTTTAAAACCCTACTCGCTAGTGCCTGAGGTTCCTAATGCATGTATACTCTACCTTCTTCAGAATCTTGAAAACACTGAAGCTACTGATAACAGATATCACAGCCCGATATGGTCATTCTTCTGTTTTTTTTCAAGTTACTAAACTCTCTGATCCTCAATTTCCACATCTGTAAAATGTGACTAAATGTGCCTAGCTTATAGGTATTCCATCATAGATTACAGTAAAATTTTTTATATGCAAGCATTTGCGAATTGTGACAAGTTATACAAATATAAATTATTACTATCTGGGGAGAAGAATGGCAGCAATTTAACTGTGTAGAGCAAATCTCTGTGGCATTTAAGTATAACTCATTCACTAAAGATGAAAGGGGATAGATTTATGGAGTCAGGATATAATTAGTACATTTATAATCTGGTCCAGAAATTTATTATCAGAGAGAGAAACTGTATTCTTGTTTGAGGAAAATGCAAGCACTTTTAAGAGATCATATTGTCATAGCTTTGTTTACTTTTTAATCATTTCACAGGTAATATGGTTTATTTTAGGGAAGCAACGATTCATCAAAGCACAGTTCATGATTCACCAGAATCAGAGGTAGTCATGCTATGGATTAGTGAACACTGTGAATTGTCAAGAAAACTATGAGCGATTAAGTGCAAGAATCAAGGGTTCTTGGTTTTCACCATAAAGCTAGCTTTGGGGCATATGGTTTACAACTGTACTTTTTGTAATAAACCACAGTTTATAGGCAACAGGTGTATCAGACTTACATCCTAATTTGTGTAAGTCTGAACTCTCAGGCTGGCTCTAAAGGGACTTGGAAAGATTTATGAGAATGAGTGACAGCCAAGATAATTCTTGAAACTGACTTTATAAGGTTTCATTTTGGTGAATGACAGGTTATAGTTATGAAAAAAATTCTCATAATAGTATGAAGTTTGTAAGTGGTAGGGAGGAGTTTGGTTAAAAAAAAAAAGGACTAATTGTTTAACTAGAAAGTGCTACATTATGGACATTCTATGAGTCCAGTTGGCTCTGAACGTGTGGCCTGACTTCTTCATGTTCACTTCTTACCCCAGCCAAAGACCACAGGTTTCTTCAAATAGGGTTGCAATCTACTCATGCTGTTTAAAACAGAGTTTGTGCTTAATTAATGTCTTTTCTAACTATCACAATTAACTTGAAGACAAAAAATCAGCTATGCTTCAAAGACAGAGAGGGAAGAGGGGGAAAAGGAGAAAATATTTTCCATGTTTTTGTGCAATGAACTTTGTCTCTTTCCTTCACCTCCCCTTTACCTTTGTCCTGCCCAGGGGCCCTGATGCTGCTTCTCTCCCCTCAGTAACTTGTTTAATCACTACCCGTGTTTCAAGTCAGTCAGCTACTCTCAAAAAGCCTTTCAGAATTAGACATAACATTTTCAAGGGGAATCAGGGGCATTTTTTCTTGATCTTCATTCAGTTTTTCAGTATAATATTATAATAATTATAAAGACAAATTTGAGGAGAAAATTTCTCTTCAATATGCTTCTCCTTAATATGATTGCTTCTTTTGCATTAATTTTCACTCTTGCTACTTCATTTGTTCATTTGAAAAATGTTTATTGAGAACCTCTTATAGATCAAGCTGAATTATATACACAGGGAACAAACACCCCTGCCTTCCTTCCTGGGGTGTTCTTGTGAATGTGGGAAGAGAGAAAACAAATATATATTGTATCAACATTGGGTTTTAAGGTTGAAAAATAAAACAAATTAAGTTTTGGGAATGTGGGTGTTGGATGGAGGAGTTGTTATTTTTCCTCTAAACACACATGGTCTTATTCTATAAGAACATATATTCCTCCCCTGAAAAATGCAAAGAACCAAACAAAAACAAAAAAACCAATCAACTACACAAACAAAGGAATAAACAAAAAAAATCCAACTCATAAATATATATTTGGTGATATGATTTTAGCTGAACTTTGTTTTTTCATAGCTTTCACATGACATGTATGGCAAGTAATATTAACCAGAAGCTTTTGCCAATTCTTAAATTAAGAAAATTAGAGAGAATAAAAATAGAAAGACAAGAAAGTACCAAATAAAAGAAGAGTGGCATGAAGAAAAAGAGAACAAATTTAGTCATTAAAATGTTTGCACTCTGCCTGGGGATTTAGCTCACTGGTGCTGCCGCCTGCCTCACAAACACAAGGACCTGAGTTCGATCCCTGGTACCAAAAAACAAAACAAAACAAATGTTTGCACTCGTATATCATATTTTGAGAATTTTGGGCAAGATCACATTAGGGCAAAGGTCCACTGAGATAAAATTAGAAACACATCAAGTTAAGATTAAAAGCAATTTGTTATTTCAAAGTTTACAGTCTCAGAAAAGCAGTGTATCATTAACTCTTTGTTTCTGTTTTGGATAAAGTCCTGGGTTTCCTGCCTTTTCTGTCTTAGCAAAGATTTATAAATAAGAGGCCTTGCCTACCCAGAGATGACAAGACTACTAGCATTGTGAGAGAAACACTTTAATTAAAAAGTCTGAACCAGGGGACATTAAGCTCTGATTTTAACGCTGTCAAGAGTACAGTCCAAGTTGGAAATGGGTGGTCCAATTTACCAATCCTCTTTTGAAAAAATAACTATGTTTATGTGCAGCTACTTTTATAAAAATAATGGTTAGGATAATTTCTTGTAAAATTGAAGAGCGTGATTTATTGTGGGTGCCCATGTAGACCAACAAATTGAACTCAGACCTGGATTTGAATATCGCCTTTAGAGTTACACATACTGTAACCTGAGGCAACTCAATGAATCTCCTTGGGTCTATTTCTTAGCTGATATGGCATTTCTGCTGTGTAAAACTATATATAGCTGTCTTAATTACTTTTCTTGCTGCTGAGGCAAAATACCCAACATCTACAAGTTAAGGGAACAAAGGTTTATTTAGCTGACAGTTTGCAGAGGTTTCAATTCATAATCAGCTGGCTCCAAAGCTGGATGGTACAGCAGATAGGCATCGTAGAGGAGAAACGGTTCATAGAGGGCAGAAGTTAGCAAAGCAACAAGGGATGACCACAACTCTTTCTATCTCTTATGTCTTATCCAGGCTACTTAGGGTGAATAGCACTCACATCCTTAATCCTACTGCCCTTGATCCTAGCATTGCACCACAAATCAATTCCAGCATCACATACTCTTGATTCAGCCACTTCTGAAAAGCCCAACCTATGACTGCATGAGTCTTTGGGAGAACATCTAAACAGAAGCCAAAACAATAGCACATTCAAATCCCTAACCTTACGTTACACTGAGCTAGATGAAATTGCTATTTTGTAGCTCTAAGTCATTCAAACATCAGCTATTTCATGTGGCATTGTTAATCTACAGTGGGCGCCCAATTGATAGAAGCCGGCAGAATTGCCATGTTCATTTAGTATTTTATATTTTTTTTAACTTGAAGATATAAAAACATTTGTACATTGGTGAAGATGAAGAGCCGTAGATATCCAAAAGACAATCATATAAAATAGTTTATTATTTTATTTTTAAAATAATGACTTTGTGGAGATATAATATTATATAAATTGATCTTTTAAATTATACTATGCTGTAGTTCCTAGTGTATTTACAGAATCATGCCATTATCATCACTACTTAACTTTAGAATGTTTTCATCATCCCTAAAAGAAGCTCTCACTCTATTAGCAGTTGCTTCCTCTTTTGCCTCTGCCCATAGCTCCTGGCCACCACTAGTTTACTTGCTGTGTTGGGTATTAACTTGCATATTTTGGACATTTCATATAAATGAAATCAGACATGTAGCCTTTTGTGTTGAAATTCTAATGCTTAACATAATGTTTTCAAGGTTTGTACATGTTGTAATATGTATTGGTATTCATTCATTTTCATTTATGACTAAATACAATTCCATTGAATAGGGATACCATATATTATTTGTCCATTCATCAACTGATGAAAATATGGGTTGTTTCCAATTTTGGACTTTTATGCTGTTATTATGTTTAATAATTATTATGTTTAATGCTGTTATTAATATTCACATACAAGTTTTTCTATAAACATTTTCATTTTTTAGGAAGGGAATTCTTGGGACATCATAGCTTAACACTTTAGACAACTGACTGTTTCCTTTCTTTATTAAAAATAGCTAAAATGTGAATAATTCTGGGGAAAAAAAATGAGCTTGGGTATCTGTGCCAGAAAGCAGAATGTTCGAAACATGAAGAATGGGAGCATATCAAAGGAATGCAGTAGTCAACCTGAAAGCTCTGCCCATAGTCAACCTGGAGCAATTTGAACAACAAAGGAAAGAGCATGACAACATAAAATAAATATACTTTAATCCATATTGATATAAATATAAGATGGGTAAGCAGATAAATGGAGGAGAAGAGGAAAATCTACTTAAAGAATTCCAAATAATATAAGTAGGCACTCCCTCCTCTGAGGACTTAATTCCCTTGAGTGTGGGCTGGATTTAAGGACTGCTTTCCAAGGAACAAAGCGTGGAAAGGGAAAAAATAGTAACTTTATGGAGAAGCTAGTGCTGCGGTAATCAAGTGATCAAGGCTAACATCAGCAGATATATGTCATGTTGATATTGTTTAATCTCCTGATAGAAGGTGATGAGAGGGCATTTCACCTATTTGGTATTCTTCCCGAAGACACTTAGCCTCAATTTCATCATGAGAAAGCATCATATAATGCAAATCGAAGAGGTGCTACAAAATACCTCACCAGTATTTTTTTTCAGTACAGTACTAAGGAGTAAACATGGGGCTTTGTGCATATTAAATAAATACTCTACAACTGAGCTACATCCTCAGCTCTTTTTGTTTCATTTTGAGACAAGGTCTTGCTAAATTTCTTAGACTGGACCCAAATTTGTCTCAACCTCCCTAGTAGCTGGGATTATAGCTTTGCGTCACTGCATCTGACTCACCAGTACTCTTCAAAATTATCAAGATTATAAAAACTAGGAAGGATTGAGAAATTGTTGCAAAACAGAAGAGACTACAGAGAATTAATGGCTAAATGCAATGTATCATTCTGAAACAGGAAACATATCATTAGTGGAAAAATTGGTAGAATCTAGATGATGCATGGAATGTAGTAGTTAACTATAATAATGCCAATAGTAATAATAATAGTACCAATATTGGTTCCTAAATTTTGACAAAGTTACTATTGCAATGTATAATGTTAACGTTAAGACAAACTTAGGGCTATTCAGGAACTCTGTGTATTAACTTGGTAATTTTACCATACATCTAAAATTCTTTCAAAATAAAAAAAACTTATTTGAAAAACATTACACATTAACAACACATTTTAATTGAAATGTAACTGTATCAAAACACAATCATTTAATGAAAAAAATTTAGTGGAGAGAGGACTGGTTATTCAGGTAATTCAAACAAAAGAATCGGTTATTGAGAATGATGTTAAGATTGATCTAAACAATGGTCTACATGGATTAAGTTTACCAGGGATTTACTTATCTTTCTTTCAGACTATCTACAGTTACAAGGTTGGTTGGCTGAAGTGACAGCAGGATTTTTGAGCATTTGATACCTACAGTAAGCACTTAGGGCACAGTTCTCTTGTCCCCTCCTCCCCACCCCCATTGTGGATTACCTTATCTCCTCTTAAACAGTATCAGCATTTACTAAATTAATGAGTTAGTGTTACATCTAAGAAGATATCAATTTCCCTTGGCCTCCTTTACATGGGCTTGCTAAAACATACTCTACACATGCTTGCTGGCTGATCTCATTCCCAGTCCAGGACTCAGCTTTCAAACAAACAGGGGTGACTCTCAAATCTGCAGTCCCGTACTTCTGTCTTAGTTTCAGCCTTCTATAGCTGACCCTTTTCTAGACATACCCAGGCTGCCTTATTGGTGCTACAGTGAAAGAGATCCCAAAGTCAGACCCATTATCTTTCTACCTATCATTCATGTTAAAATTGTTGCCCCCACTTAAATTCTCTTCCTCAGTTTTAACAATTATCTATCATGTAGGGCCAAAAAGAATCTTTGTGAGTGATAGAAAGATACTTAGACAATTTTAGAGAAATTTTAATTCCATGTGTTTTTATCTAGAAAACTATCATTTAAGAATATAATAGTATTTTGCATTTGCAATTAGAAAGTTTACAATAACATATAATCACTGAATTTACTTTTCAAAGTTTTTACTTGACTGTGAAAATATATGTCATCCTCAATGTATAACTGAAATAACTTCTCAAAATTAATGGTTTCGTATAAAATCTTTCTTTGCATAAATTTTAGAGAAAAAAATTTTAGTTCTGGGATTTGAACCTGAGCTTCATCTAAACTTGGCAAATACTCTTCCACTGAGGTATATACCCATCCCTAAAATATATATATATATTTTTTTCTTTTGCAATACTGGGGATTGAATCCAGGGTTTGCAACTGAGTTATACTTCCTGCCCTTTCTACTTTTTTAATTTTGAGGCAGGCTGAGCTTGAATTTATGATCCTCATGCTTCAGCCTCCCAGAGTGCTGGGATTGTAGGGATATACCACTATGCCCAGTTTAGAAATAATTTTTGAAAGAAAAATTGATAGCAATTACTAAAACTTTTCTCTCATATACTTAATTTATCATCAATAGAACCACATTTTTCAATGGAAAATATCTGGAATAGAAGTCTTTTTTCCCCCTTCTCTCTTTTTCCATGCCATCATTTTTCTGGAACACAGAAGACTAACCACCTCAGAAACATCCTAAGGTTTAAATCACATTAAAAGGCAAAAACACCCCATGACCCTGCTGCTCTCTGGTTCTAGGAATTCTATTAGAGAGTTCTTGGAAAACCTGAAAAGTGGATTAGCATTGTAGTCTAAAGTTTACTCAAGAGTTAAGGAACAGAGCCACTGATAGAGGCTTGTGACTGCTAATTTTGCCTTTCATCAAGGGTAATGAGCCAGGTACAGACTGATTTCACATCATTAGTGAGGTTCCTGACCACACCTCTCTCTTTAATTCTTTCCTGAGTGAATTTGTAATTTGCCTTTGGTTTCTGTGTTAAAACAACAAATTGTGAAGGATCAAAGAGGATAATGACAAGGAGGAAGTGGCAAGTTAGTGACATCTTTGTAGGAGGACTAGTAACTAAGCATTGTATGATTACTTAGTAGAAGTTTTCTGACAAAGGACTTCAGAATGAATTCCGGTATAGCACACTTCAAGAAAACTGTCTAAATATTGCAGTTATTTTAAAATTCTCATTCAGCTGCTAAACCTTTATTGAGTATTCATTATACTTGACATATATGTATTTTACACAACACATACACACACGATTTCACAAAAAGAAAAATGTAGAATAATGCATAAGAGATTGAGATCTTGAAGTCAAACAAGACTGTGTTTAAATCCTAGTACTACTACTCACTAATTAGTTAAAGTGTGACTACCCCCAAAATATGTCTATTCAAAGCTCAGAATGTGATAATATATGTAATACATTTTTCCAGATGCTATTCATGTTAGGCTCTTGTAAGATCATCCTAAATCCAATGAAGAAGATGCAAATAAAAGACAGAAAAAGAGAAGACACAAATAGAAAGAGGCATGTGAAGATGGAAGCAGAGATGAGAATTATACAGCCCTAAGCCAAAAAAAGCCAGGGATTTCATGCTGCCACCAGAAACAAGGAGAGGAGTATGGAACAGATTCTCCCTCAGAGTGGACCAAATCTGCCAATATCTTCATTTTTAGGCTTCTAGCCTATAAGAGAATACAATTTTGTCATTTTAAACTCCAAAGTTTGTGATAATTTGTTACAATAGCCTTAGAAAACTAAGCTTCCTGACTTTTGGTTAACTCTCTCATTTTCTGATTCTCTTGAAAATGAAGAGAATAACAATACTAACAGAATTATTGTAAAGATTCAGTAACATAATACTTATAAAATGCTTAACACAAGATGTGCACACAGCAAGAGCTAAATAAATGTTAAGAATTATTATTCAGCTATGGTTGGTTAGGTACCTATGGGTTAGGTACTTCTGGGTCAGGTTTATTTCCAATTTATCAATGTTGAGATTACTTGAATGCTTACCTATGCTGCTTTTAATATTTTTTTAATGAAAGGAGATCTTTTTTATATTTAAGAGGAAAAGAGAGAAAGAGAAGGAATATTATACAGATGAATTGTTCCTCTCAGTATTTTTCATTGCAAAAATCACATGGACCTCAGAACCTCACCTCTGCCCTCATGCTTAGAGCACAGTATAAATTCTTTTTTTTTTTTTTTTTTTTTTTTTT